ACTAAGGTATTTACAAATAATTGACAGTCTTATGTATATTACAAACTGTACTCGACCAGATATTGCTTTTGCGGTGAATCAACTTAGTAAATTTACAAGTAATCCAAACCGTGATCATTGGAAGGCTTTGATGAGGGTTCTAAGATACTTGAAGTATACTTTAACCTATGGATTACACTTCACAAAATATCCTGCGGTACTAGAAGGATATTGTGATGCGAATTGAATATCCGATATGAAGGATTCCAAATCTACTAGTGGTTATGTATTCACCATTGGTGGAGCTGTTGTATCATAGAAATCAACAAAGCAAATGTGCATAGCTCGATCAACGATAGAATCTGAGTTTATTGCTTTGGACAAAGCTGGAGAAGAAGCAGAATGACTTCGAAATTTCTTAGAAGATGTTCCATGTTAGCCCAAGCCAATACCTGTGATAAGTATACATTGTGATAGTCAATCAGTAATTGGAAGGGCTCGAAGCAACATGTATAATGGTAAATCTAGACATATTCATCGTAGACACAACACCATTAAGCAACTGATCTCAAATGACATTATCTCCATAGATTATGTGAAATCAAAGGAGAATATTGCGGATCCACTTACAAAAAGTTTGCCTAGAGATCAAGTGCGTTTCATATCAAGAGGAATGATATTAAAGCCTACTATGTAAGAGTTTTTGCAATGGTAACCCTACCTTGTTCACTGGAGATCCCAATATCTTGATTCAAAGGGACAACTAAGTTGTGAAAATTCCATGAAGCACTTAGGAAATTAGAATTCCTAACTCATTTCTATGATACTAAAGTGCTTTCTGCGGAGTGGATAGATGCTAAGATTGTCTTTTAATAATTTCTATATTTTGCTTAAGTTAAGTGGAGTAGGACAAAATACTCTTAATAGGAGGTCACCTATGTAAGTGTGAAGTGGAGCCGCTTCGATAAGAATTGTTTAAGGTTTGAATTCTCTAAATACTTATGAAATCAAGAAGGGCTCATGGCCAAAATGAACCAAGTCATGAGAATTAAGTACAGAATATGGAAGATATCTGTGTGAGTATTGTTGTCTTGACTTACACTAAAGGTTGAGTGGTTCAAGACCTATGGTTCACCAATTAGCCGAGTAAGTCCGATAATATTTCACTAAGGGAGGTTTAAGGCCAGAAGCCACCATCCCTGATGCAGTATTTCTTCGCACCATCTCTACATTGCATCATATCATTGCATTTAAATATGCGTACCCGAATTTCCATTGTGGAGGATTGTAGGAATTGGTTCAAATAATTAACCAAAAATTGAAAAATGAAAATGTGTGTAAAAGTGGAAAGTAAAAGTGTGTGACTACGTGTCAATTTCGATCAAATATTCGGACTTGATCCGATGGTCAAATTACAAAAGTAAATAGACCAACTTATTCTACTCGTCGAGTAGATCGTCGTGGTATATTCGGAATCTCAAAATCAATTTCAGATGAATGAAAAATTGCGGACCAAAGTTGGAAGAAATGAAAAGATACAGGTTTTGGCCAAGTGTTACAACTTTTCGAAAGGATGCATGTTTTGATCCATACTACTTCATTTGCACTCTTTCTACATATATAAATAGGACCCTGCGGACATGGTTTTGGGTACACTAATTTCATTGAGTATTCATTCTCTGCTTGCAATTCTTTCATTTCTAATCCTATAGCATTTTCATGCATTTCCTTTGTAAAGGGGAAATTCTGTCAAAAGTTCGTCGGTTTCTTGTGGTTTGAAGTGTTGCTACCACAAGTTGTGAATCCATTGTATCTTAGGAGATAAGTGTCATTCACCGTGAGCACTGTAGCGGGGTAATTTGTCTTAAGGAAAGAAAAACATCTCGCTTTAGATTATTCTCTATTTCTACTCATTCTTAATCCTTGTTTTGCGTAATTGTTATACCAAAACTCTGTCCAAATTTTCATTCATATAAATTGTGTTTTGATCACGCTCTTGTAGGTTAAAATTGATCAAACAAATATATCAAAAACCAACTCTTACATAGCCCTTGTTATAAGTCGTCTCCAACAAATTTTTCGAAGAAGGTTTAGTCGTTCACTATAAAGAAATTGGGTAGCCAAAACTCCAATGCAGCTAAATGCTTTTGAAGTGACAATAATCTTTAAATTCTTAACGGCTACATATCATGCCTAATTACACTGTTGGTGAGATGTGCAAGGAATTGTTGTTTATCAATACAAAAAAATAAAAATAAAAATGTTAAGTTTAATTCGCAGGAGGGTAATTAAATTTTATGAAGATTAGAAAAGAAATGAAAGAAGAAGGAGAAAAAGAAAGTAATGAAAAGAAATCTGAGGCAAATGATTAACACTTTTTCTTTAAGACAAAATTGTCCGCAACGGTGCTAATGGATTACGACACTTGTTTCCCATGATACAGCGGATACAACTTGTGGGAGAAGTACTTTGAACCAAAAGTAACAACAAACTCAAATGAAATTCTTCCCTTTACAAGAAAATGATTTTTGGAGGGTTTTTGCAAGAATTTTTGATATAATACTCAATGCAAATGATATGGTTGCACAATGGATGTCCAAATGGTCCTATTTATACAAGAGGAGAGGTTGTGAGTGAAGTAACATGCTCCAAACTCAGCAACCTTTACGAATGGAAATATCCCTTGCTTGTCGTTGGCCTATCGCTCGAGCACTAGCGACAAATTTTCAATAGAAAATTTTCATCCACTTGTTGCTCGAGTGATGGTCTTAACGCTTGAGCGCCAGGTGAGCGACAGTGTTAGGCAAATTTTTCGGCAAGATAGTCTATTTATATTTGTAATTTGACTATCTGATCAAGTTCGAATATTTAACTGAAATTGCACAAAGTCACTTTTCATGTTTTATACTTGACCAAATTTTTCAATCCTTAAACCAAATTCCAACACACTCACTATATCACTACTCACCCACAAACATGACATTCTGCAATATTCTATAACTCTATAAATCCAACACATGGGGAAAATGAAAAAGGAAGTTGAAAATTGTTAGTTTGGTGCAAAATCGAATTTTCCCATTTTCTCTTTATCTGCTTCGTCGTTATTCTTCTCTTATCAGAATTCTTCTTCTATTCTTCCTTCTATGAATATGTCTTCCACTCCCTCAGTTATGCTTCTTCTTCACAGTTAAAGTACTATAATTCCTCTTCTCTTATCTGAGTTCATCTTATCTTACTTTTCTAAATCTACTTCTCTTCTTTATCTCTATCATTTGTGAATCTAGTTTCCTCTTCTCTTACTTCTCAGAATGTGTCTCCATTTCTCTATCTCTTCTTACTCTGCTAGTCCATCTTTTCTTGTCTATATTTGTTCTTTTACTTGAAAGTGTGGGGGTGTTTTTTTTGGGGGGGGGGGGGGGGGGGCAGGGCAGGGCTGTAGTCCCCCCAAGCCCAACAACTTTTTTTTAAAGGTAGTTTTTATTTTTTTGGTAAAAAACCAGTTTTTATGTGTAAATTTTTTTCCACGTAATAGCCTAGTTTGAAATTTTATATTCCGATTTTGGATCTAATCCTGGATATGTCCCTATCAACGATTACTTTCAATTGAGTGTTATTTTAAGTTGTTTTTGATTAAAGTTGAGCTCCAACCATAACCCTACACCGTTGAATCCACTCCATAATGTTTCAGAACATCTCAAAGTGACTCTCTATTTTTAAAGAGTATATTCTATCATTTGAAAAGCACCTTTAAATTTAGAAAGTTAAAATTTTGAAGTACTCAAACAAACTCTTTATATTTAACATTTAATTTTACTATTCCCAAAAAATATTTATTATTTTTCAACATCTTTTATTTTAACTAACGTTTTTCTAGATTATTTTATTATTTCCTTACATTAAAAATTAAAACACTTAGAATGCATTTAATTATAGAGGGTGGAAATTTAGAGAACCAAACCCACTCTCTAAATTAAAAAGTTAATTTAAAGAGTTTCTTAGAGTATCTCAAAGAAACTTTCTAATTTTGAAGAGAATATTCTATCATTTAGAGAGCATCTATAAATTTAAAGAGTTAAAATTGTGAACTACTCCAACAAGCGCTTAATATTTAACACTTAATTTTATTAGATCCAAAAAAATATTTATTATTTTTCTCCTTCTTTAGTTCAACTAGCTCTTCTCTATATAATTTTATAATTTTTCTATATTGAAAATTGAAATACTTTGAATGTAGTTAATTATAGAGAGTGAATTTGAAGAGTCAAGCTCATTCTCTAAATTAAAATGTTAATTTAAAAATTCACTTAAAACATGATTTTAAGAGTTGATTATTTACAATAGAGAGCTTTTCATATTTAAAGAATCTATTGAAAATGCTCTTAGAACATAATTTGAAGGGTTATCTCTTTAAAATAGAAAGTATATCATATTTATGGAGTCTCTTGAAAATGCTCTAAACATTGACGTTACAGTGAAACCCTAAAATCGAATAAACAATTCAAGCGACGAAATAATAAACCCCTTGCATTAAACTTCGAACAATTTTTTTTTATTGCCACTCTGGAATTCTCAATTTTACATTGAAAACAAAACAAGAAATTCAACACCTTATTTTATCATTTTATGATTTTTTCCCTCTTTTATTAGATTGAGTTCTTTTTCTTCGCTAGACTCTTTATATTATGCAAAGGCGATAGGCTAAAAAAAAAAAAATCAAACTGAGTTACTATGCCCACAAACTAATTGTTAAATTAGAATTCTAATTACAAAACTACTTTAACTCATAATCGATATATTAATTTAATTGAATCCAATTTTTCAATCTCCATAATATAATAGCTAGTTTAACAAGAAGTTATTTTCTTTTACTGTTAGGGTGACGTCATAAATATTAGGATGTGAATTAATCTATTTGTCCATTGAGGTTGCCTTTAATATTATAGCTAGTTTAACAAGAAGTTATTTTCTTTTACTGTTAGGGTGACGTCATAAATATTAGGATGTGAATTAATCTATTTGTCCATTGAGGTTGCCTTTAATGTCTTAATCCTGTGTGCTGGATTTCGGAGATTACTTGTGATCCTTGTTAGATTGAGACCACGCAATCGCCTTCGAATTTCCTCCAAAAGCCATCCCCACCCATCACAACGATATTGATAACTTTACGCTTTTCAAGGAACAATCAATTTAACCACTCCTTTTTCGATAATCGGAGAATAAATTACTATTACAGGTCTCCGGCAATGTCGCTTACCGGAGCGGAGATGGTTCGCACATCGGCGGCTACGGTGATGCTAAGCCTTAAAGATGCCACGAGTTGGTGGGATGTTATGAATGAGTCACCCGTTTGGCAGGATCGCATATTTCACGTCCTCGCTTGCCTTTGTGGAATTGTCGCCGCCTTTGCTCTTGTAATTAAATTCACTACTTTTTATTTGATAGTCGAATATTTGAGGATGTGAATTTTAAGTTTCCTTTGCAATGTTTTTTCATATTGTTTCTCCTGTCCCTTTTTCGTATAAATATTTTGTTGTGAATTGCAAGTTGAATTCTTCTTTCCATGAACGAATAAAAAGAAAACAAAATGCATTTAATTTTTAATTACCAGGTAAAATTACTGGTTTCCTTTTTTTTTTTCCTTAATAATAAATGTTTCACTTGAAGCCATAAATTTGAAAAGAAATTAAGCTTTTCTTTGTCTTGATCTCACAAAATACACTGTAATTTTCAGCTAGCCAATAAAGTATTGATAATTTCCCTGTAAGTTGCAATAAAATTTGATATCAAGGTGGGCAATTTCCTGAAAGTTCTCGACCTAGACTATGGATTTATTTTTGTTTGAATTGATCTCTTGCAACCTGTTGACAAGAAAACAAGGAATGAAAAAAATCTTTGTTTCTTTATTTGAATAAAATTACTTAGTACCTATCTCTACGAAATTGATTTTCAAGTGCTTCACTTATTCTGTTTGTATAGTTTTTACTAAGCTGGAATGTGTTCATTCTAGGTACAATTGGTAAGGATACAATTGAGAATACCAGAGTATGGTTGGACCACACAGAAAGTCTTTCATTTTCTCAATTTCTTTGTCAATGCGGGTTTGTACCTATTTTATGTTATAGGCTTATAAGTTTTGTAATCATAATTTTGATTTGTGGTACGATTTTGGCTCTAAACTGAAAAACCCTTTTTTGTTTGTTTAGTTCGATGCTTAGTATTTGCATTTCGCAGGAACGTACAAAAGTTGAATCCAGAGGTAGGAAATAATCACTATCAACTTTAACACATGTTATTGCTTTTGTCTGTATTCTGTTATTAATAGTTGTCTGATATATTGTTTGCCATTATGTTTTTCATAGATTCTCCAACATATCTTGCTTGATATGCCAAGTCTTGTGTTCTTCTCCACATATGCACTGCTAGTGTTGTTCTGGGCAGAAATTTATTACCAGGTTGGATTATTATATTTATTTTTAATGCATTTTGTCATTACTTTACAATGAATTATTCTAACTCATTTTTTTATTTTTTGGTAGGCACGTGCTGTATCAACCGACGGTCTAAGGCCTACGTTCTGCACAATTAATATAGTGGTATATGCCATTCAGGTGAAAACTCTTGCCCAAATATGTTCCAGTAAGTGGGAGGTTTTTGATAAGAATGCAATCTATGAGGCATAGATGGTTCCGAAAATGGATTTTCTTGTCAGCTTTTTCATTTTCCCAATTAGATCTTGTTATGCTGCCATTTGTTTGTTCTATCTATGCAGAGAATAATTAAAGAACCATCATTGGATACAATGTTTAAAAGGAATAACAAAAACATACAACGATTAGTGATATTCAGTCACAGTTCTCCCTTTTCTGTCTCTTCCTTTTCCTCTTATGTCAGAGGGAGGGGGAAGAGGGGGTGGGGTGAGGGGCGATGTTCTTTCAGTAATATGCATTAAGTAGGCTTCCACTATGATACATTCTTGAAGTACCTATCTTTAGGATATTTTTAGTGCATCTTTGCCTTCACTTTATGGATAATGTTATATGTGGCGCAGCTTGAATTGTTGATTTATGTTCATTTTTAATGCGTCTGCCATTCCTTTAATCTTTTGTATGCATCTCTATATTCAAAAGCAACTTGTTGATTTATGTTCACATTGGATGCATCTGCTGTTGGATATTGTGCTTTCACTTCTGGTGTGATTGCGTGAGTAATTTCCTTCTAAATTTTTCCTTGCTGTCTAAAACTTTATTCTTTGTCTTCTGCCTTATCCTACTTTTGTCAATTTCCTTTTAATTTCTGTTCTTGGAACATTTATTGTGGCAGTCCTTGTATATATGCCAGTTTGGATCCTCTAACATAGCCCTTGAAGAGGATTTGACCATCTTGAAGTCTATTTATCAAATGACTATTACTTTACATCCCTTTTTGGTGAACCATAATATATGTAGAAAGAAATCCACCTGTAGTAGGTTAGGTCAAATTTGAGGTGTTCTGGTTTGTATGAGGCTGGTGTCTTGCTGTGATGACATTTGAATTAGCTCAACATGTTGCCAGTTGCAATTATCTCATATGGCTGTGGAGATAAGAATAAGCAATGCAATTTGGATTGTCACGAAATTGATCTTTTGAACTTTCATATGGTCAAAACTTGGAGAGTATTGAGTGGATTCTACTCTGGCTTTTCCTTCTGTTGAGTCATTGTTGTGACTTTCTGTGGTCAGGAGAAAATGTGCAATATGATCATAGACAAATCCCTTATGATACGGTATATCCAGCTAGGTCATTGATAGAGTGAATACATCTGCCATTTTTTCAAATCTCCCTTCCAATTCAAAATCGTGGGTAATGTGTATCCTTTCCTATTCTGGTCATGGAAGAAGGGAGACTGGGAGGCATATGCTGACCATTAGTCAAATTCAGTTGTTCTTGGAAGTAAATTTGTTATCTGGACATGGTTTTAAGTTTCATTTCTATGCAATTGAAACTTTGTAGATTTTAAAAATCAGTTAATTCATTTTCTTTACCTCGTGTTTCTTTTCTATAACTTCCAAAGTGGAAACAACGTTTCGAAACTTTTAATCATGGTTCAGAGACTCTTTTATGGCTTAAATTTCTCTTCTATGTAATATCAAATTACTATAACTTATCTACATCAATTATGGCTTCTCAAGATGACTGAAAGGATAGTTATCATGGGTTGACATCATGATGTGTTTAAGATACCTCTATTTACAAAACAGAAAATTTCTGTATGATTTCATTATAGTTAATGTAAAGGCGACGCTCAAATAAAAAATGAAACTTCAGTACAATTATTTTACACCGACCAATTAAGTTCAAAGCCGCTCTAAAGTAGGACTTAGTTAATTACTAAATAGTTGATCAAATTTTTGTTGTTATACGTAGTTATGTTGCGAGTCATATATACGCTGCATACATTAGAATGTGATGCTATGGCAAAATTCTAATCAATTGACAGTAGTGAGTGCTGATACAATTTTTATATGAATTGCTATGTATAGGTATCTGAAGTTTGCACTTATTGGTAGACTAACTGTATGTTATAATTTCTTTCAGATACTTTTGTGGCTAACTATATGGTGGAAGCCTGTCCCAGTTCTGATAATCTTGTCAAAGATGTTCTTTGCAGGTTCATATTTCAGATTTTCCATTAAGTTATATTGTGTATGCATTATTAACTTTGAGGTACTAAAAGCATACATCAATTGGCAGGCGTGTCTTTATTTGCAGCTCTGGGATTTCTTGTTTATGGTGGAAGGTAATAATGTTCTCTCACTTTGATAATTGACTCTGGTTCTGGAAGTAAACTTCTTGAACAATGTAAATAAAATACAAAGTTGGAACACAATCATATGCACTATCACCTTCTCTCACCTTCCAATAATGTATAGGGTTTTAGTTAAGTTCTCTTATTGGTTGGTATGCGGTGAACTCATAAATCATAAATTTGTTTCTATGACCAAAAAACTTGCTTCCTTGCACATCTTTTTCTATTGGAAGTACGATAATATTGTGTACAGAAGGTTCCTCGAGATAAGAAAAAGCTGGCTTCTACTGTGGTTATGTTAATTATCCATGCACCAGCCATATATAATAACGATAATCTTGTAATGGAGTATTATTCTAATTTCTAACTATGAACATATATGTTGATCAGAAAGGAAAATTAGGTTATATATTTGGTATTATTTTGTGGATATATATTTGCTATCTGCTAGGTACAAGGGTTTTGTGGATGCTTTATATAATCAGTGTGATTTTTAACTCTTATTTCTTTCTTCATGCAGGTTGTTCTTAATGTTACAGCGATTCCCTGTAGAATCAAAAGGGAGGCGCAAGAAGCTACAGGAGGTATGTTCCAAGTTACATGACATTTTCTTATCTCTTCAAGCATTTACTTAACTTTTGTTTCCCCTGACTTCTTCACACATTCAGGTTGGCTATGTAACCACAATATGTTTTACATGTTTTCTCATTCGCTGTATTATGGTAAGCCCAGTCTTCTTCATTACTTAGCATCTTATTTTGTGGTTGAGCTGCAGATGTAAAGTGTTAAAAAACTTAATTTATTACTAATCCTAAAGGAGATGCTGCTGTTGATGAAGCACATAATATAAGCTTTTCTCAAATAATTATTTTTCCAAGTATCTTATGTTTCTATTACTGTGTCATTGTGTGCAGATGTGCTTTAATGCATTTGACAAAGCCACAGATCTGGATGTTTTGGATCATCCTGTTTTAAACTTACTATATTACCTGGTAAGTTTTGTTAATTACTATAACTAGTTTTAATTTATTTATGATAGAGGTTGATGTTAATACCATAATACTGGTAGACAGCTAGAATAACTGTCAAGATTTCAAGAAACCTTTTGTACAAATGGTGTTCGTGCTCTGGGTATTGATATAATTTCATATGTTGACTTCTTATTATCTTGGCACGGTGGATGAGAGCCTTTATCTAGTTCTGGAAATCTATTACTATTCAAAACCAGGGAAAACAAATATTGAAGACGCTTTCAGATTTCTTTTTGTTTTGTTTTTCCTTTTCTTTCTTTTTGTTTGAAGTTTTCAACATTCTTGCATGTTATATTCTAGTTGAACTTATTTCTTTACTTCTTAATTTTCTATCGTATTTATCCTCAATTTAGATATTATGCCTCTGTTTGGTGTAGCTAAAAATCAGATTTTAGTATATTTTGATAAAAGTTGATGAAATGTATGATAGAAAAGCGGTGGGTTCATGAAATGTGTGGCCTTTTCTTCTTAAAACTGTCTTATAAAATGTGCTGTTATCTTACCGTTGTTTGACTTAGATGTGTCTTCCTTTTTTAGAAAATTAACATTTTTAGCATGTCTGACATGACAATTCTAATAATTTGCAGTTAGTAGAGATAATACCTTCTTCGCTTGTCCTCTTCATACTGAGGAAGTTGCCTCCAAAACGCTCAGTCACACAATATCAGCCCTTCCTTTGATTGCAAAGAGATGTTAAATGATGGGAAAAAATATGGAGTTGGCATTTAAGACAAACTTCTGCCTGAAACGGAATTCAAAAACGTGAGAATCGCCAGTTTGGCAAGAAATGGCGGGCCAACTATTAAGTTTGTTCTCACTTCACAAATTGTAGATCTTCAGCGAATTGTGAACTAATAGAGAATGGTGAAAATTGGGGTACTTTTAAAATTGACCTAGTCAAAGGTCCTTATTTCCACTTTGACTCTTAAAAACTTGAAAATTATCACATTAACCTCTTGAATGGTAAAAGACAGAGATGTCCTTAAATATATTATATAATTACAAAATATTGGATAATTTAAATGACATTATTACCCTCTTAGTTAATAATTAAAAATCAAACACTTCCCTACTTATAAAATTGCAGAACGAGTTTCGAACACAAAAAAACTCTCGTTTTTCATCTGTTTGAACCTCAAAATATCAAAAAACTTCAAATGTCTAAGCTAGAATTTTTTTTCAGATTAATTACTTTTATCAGTAAGTATATTTTTACACATGTTTAATTTCGATTTCAGTAGTGTACGTTTGAGTAGTTAAATAACACGGTAGTTAGTAGAATTTTTTTTTTAACAGATCTATAATTTTTTTCTTTAGAACCATAGAAAAATAAAAAGTCATACGCAAAATAAACAGTTTAGTGATTAACTGTGAGATGTTAACGAAGACTGTTAGATTGCCGGCTGTCAAAAGACCGTCTAACAGTCGACTGTTAGTCGGTTGTTTCTCACATTAACAGCTGACTGTCAGTCGATTGTTTTTTTGACTGTTTTACGAATTTTTTATTATGTGGTTGTATTGCAATTCTCGTAACAGAGAGAACATCATATGCGGAAGTGTACCAGGATTTGCAAAATAAGCTGAATGTCAATTCTTCTCAGTACGATATGCAACTGAGATATTTATTCAATGGTTATTGGGATTCGTCCATTCCGATGCTACCTATATTTGTTACTAATGATGTTGAATTGAATTATTTGTTAGAATTGAATAAAATGCATAGGACTCCGACTGTTCTTGGCATGACTTTAGTTAAGAAGGTGTTGTCGAAGGTGAACGCGAAGATTCAGATAGAGCGGATAATAATGTCCGAGATTTTTGGGAGACAGTGGAGATAGTTCCTGCAGATGCTGTGGTTATTCCCGCGACAGTTGCTACTGATCGTGAAGTCACTATTACGCACAGAATTTCGTCGACAGTTGAGGACAACGAAAACATAAATGATTTTACAAATGAAAATTTAATTGCTTTATCCCAACAGAGACCTGAGTGGGGTGGGAGCTCAGGGGGTGGAACAAGTGGGCCGTCCTTCAATTCTTCGCTTGTGGCTCTCGATGATGAGGATTTGTATGTCAAGCAACTATTTGAAACCAAGAAAGATTTGCAGAAAGCTGTACAACGGATGACATTAAAATATAACTTTGAGTTTAAGGTAAATAAATCAACCAAGTCATTATTGACAATTGCCTGCATTGACGACAATTGCAATTGGCGCTTGATAGTGATTAAGATGGACACGAATGAGTGTTTTGTAGTTCGCAAATATGCACGGAAATATACTTGCGAAGTGAGAATTTGTCGAAATGATCACAGGCAAGTTTGAGCATGATTTATTGGTCGACGGATAAGGCACAAGTATCAGGACCTATGGACGATCTACAAACTTTCAGATATCATTAACGACGTCCGTCGAGAATATGGAGTGGTCATAAGCTACCAGAAAGCCTAGAAGACCAAAGAATGTGCGTTGAAAGATTTAATGGGATCGGTTGAGGAGAGATATGCTAAATTGACCAGATATTGTCATAACATGGGAACAACTAATCGTGGCACGATATTTTTTATTGAGACGGGGGTGATAATTATTTTAAGTATTTCTTCATGGTTCTCAGACAATGTATTCGGGGTTTTCGAAATGCAATGCGACCCGTAATTCTAGTTGATGGTACAACTCTGAAAGCTAAATATCAAGGCAAATTAATTATTGCTACATGTCAAGATGCCAACATCCAAATTTACCATATTGCATTCGGCATAGTCGACAACGAGAATGATTTGTCCATGCATTGGTTCTTTTCTAAACTGAGGGAAGTGATCGGAGAAGTCGAAGACCTTGCCTTTGTAATCGATCAGGGACAGTCTATAATAAACAGTATCGCTGAAGTTTTTCCCGAGGCACATCATGAGTATTGCATGTACCATATACAAAGTAATTTGAAGACTAGATATCGGGGTAAAGACATCGTTTCATTGTTCAGGGGAGCAGCCGAAGCTTACAATGTCGAAGAGTGTAACAAGTTTATGTTCGAGATAGGAAGTAAATCATTACCGGCGTTGGAGTCTCTGACGAACATGGTGATCGAACATTGGACGCAGTTATACTTTCCAGGACATCGATACAACATGATGACGTCGAATAACACGGAGTCTCTCAATGCATTGTTTAAGAAGGATCAAGAGTTACCAATTCTCGCAATAATTGAGAACATTCGTAACAAGCTGCAACAGTGGTTTCATGACCAACGTGCGGCATCACAGAGTTGCACTAGCGTGTTGGCCTCAGCTCAAGAAGAGAAACTCTTTAAGGTGATAGAGGTTGCGAGGAAGTTGAATGTGGAAGCACTAGATGAGTTCCGCTTCTCCGTGCAATGTGCACGTAATATGACATATATGATGGGCTTGACTGATAACACATGCACTTGTACGAGATTTCGATTGGAGAGTTTTCCATGTGAGCATGCAATTACGGTGGCCATGTATCGAGGCTTTGTAGCGAGAACGCTATGCTCTTTGTATTATTCGACTGAGTCTTGAAGAACATCATATGTTGAGACTATATTTCCTCTGTCGAATGAAGCTGAATGGGAAGTTCCCAAGCACATTCTCCCGTTTCATAATTTGTTACCACCAGCAGTTGAACTGCGTGGTCCTGGACGTCCAAATATATCTAGAATACCATCTATCAGACTGTTTCCTCGACCCCGTAGGTGTGGCAACTGCAGAGCCATATGATATACTCGACAATTTTGTACCAGTCAAATTTTCCTAAATAACAATTAGACAGGTACGTTAAATGAATAATATTTTCGTTTACTTTACACTGTTTAATATTTGTTTTTCATAAATGTTCAATGTTCGATATTTATTCTTGATAAATGGTATTTATAATGATTCATATGAAAAAAATAGTTCCATACTCGGCATATGTGTAAAATAACAAAAAATCAACTTACAGAAAAAATATTTAAATTTTCAATGTGAATGTTATATATATTGAACACAAATTTACAATTATTTCATAATCACAAAAGATAATTAAATTTATAATTCGAATGTTACATATATTTAATACAAATTTACGGGTCATCATTAAATTCGAACAAATCACAAGCTAGCTTCTTTCTCCAGTTCTGTATCCACGATTGGTTGATTCCATCAACCTTATGTCCTATACTTAAAAATTCAACGTACTTAATGACAAATATGCCATAGTTACCGCTACAATTGAACAAGAATGGATCAGTTCAGTACTATGTAGCTAAAAACTAAATCTGAAAGATGAAAACAACAAAGTTCAAACACTTACCTTATGGATTGTCGCGCTGTCGTCGTGTTTCGAACAATCCGCAATTGTCCTGTACAGTCATCCTCGCTCGTCTGGCCATCATAGGAACAATTATTGCTACGGACTCCAGGTTTTGCTCCAGTTGGCCTTGTGTTAAACATGAATGATCTGGATCGTACACATATATAGTCGTGTCAGCAAAAACGATCTCCAGCGTAACATAGTGATTATTGATGCACGCTGGAATGTACATTTGTGTACAACCCTCCCATGATTTTCCCCCGACACTCGACGACATTCGTATGACCCACTTAAGCATATATTCTGGCACTGTGTATTCGTTACACATAAGTTGGAGCGACTGATACTTTATGGTAACGGCATGCAGGAACTCGGTGTTTAATATGATTCGACCATGGACGTCAAATGATTTTGGATGTCTTTAAACTCGATCTCGCAGCAAGTCCATGGTCAGGTCAATGTGTTGCATCAGGAAACACCAAAAAAATATGAGTTATTCATTTAATAAAAACAAAGTGACGTATAAATAAAAAACATGAAATGAATAGTTCACTTACATCGTCGGTGAGCCAAGCTCCCGAAGTGGTGATATCGTGGAATCACTTGTAAGTGTCTGAGACTGTCCTATGACCTATCGTGCGGCTAACTCTGAAAAAACAGGAAAATGCTAAAATAAGCATAGACGAGTTAGCGTACAGTACTTTATTAAAATCATACAATACTTACCTGGGGATAATTCTCCTCCACTCCGTCTCGAACGCTTTTCACTTGGCGTTGTCCACCTCCTTGAATAAGTTCGGGTGCGTCCCGTCGATGAACGTCCTCCTCTTGGCCTTAGCCGTGAATGGGGAAACAACATACTGTGACGGTACTCTCAACCTCTTGCCGACCACTTGCTCCGTCTCATCAATAGCATGTCTTTTACCCTCAATCACGACGGGCGTCCTCTCGGCCTTCGGGGCCACCTCCTTCGCCCCTCCCATCGGGGCCATCCCCTCCGTCGTCCCCTCTTCCATCCCCATTGGGGCCACCCTCTCCCCCTCCATAGACAATCACAATGATTCTAATGTTTCATCACGTTAAAAATGTGGGTGACCCCCCTCTCCATCACCATATCTGCCACCCCCTCGATCATCATCTCTACCATCCCCTCTGTCCCCCCATCGCCTATCGGCTAAATCTCCTCTAAGTGCCGCTACTGTATCCTGAAGGTCGACAATGCAAGACCGTAGCATTCCAACATCATGCGATAGATCGTCAACCCTCCTTGTCAACTCTCGTCCTATATTATCGACCCTCCTAGATCATGGACCCTCTCTGTCAACTCTCGTCGTAATGCGTTGACCTCCTTCGCTATAAATCCAATCAGACGGGCATACAAATCATCACTGTATATCGGAGATACACGGGGGACGTTTCTGGACGAGGGAGAAGGAGATACCCTCGATGGTGGCAATGTCATCGACGGAGGTGATGCCAATGGTGGCGACGATGCTCTTGGTGGAGGTGATGCCAATGGAGGCGGCGGCGATACCCTCGGCGGAGGTGATTGTCGATCAACTGGACCGCCCTCTTACATAAATAACATTAAAAATTATTCAATAAATTTATACGTCGATGATATTCAATAAATTATATTTAATTCACATACCCAATCTCGATCCAGGTTCGGATTAGACATCT